ATTTATATAGATAGGCATTATCTTTTTTCCTTAATTTTCTCATCTTAAAATGCACATTATCTCACATGCTTAACAGGTATTTATCAGATCATCTTCATTTACCCAATGTGATGAATATTATCTAAAAGACCACTGTAAGGTCTTCTTAGCAACAAAACCTAAAAACTTCACACACTGATGAACAAAACTGTGGGCAAGCAAAGAGCACTTTAAGCAATTTTGAAGCACATTCCCCTGTGGAATTCACACACTGGGCCACTCAGACCTAAGTGCTTTTCCGAAGGATCATAAGGTGAATTATAATAGCCCAGAACTTCCAAAATGTGCCAGGGTATGACATCTCCACCCTGCCTCAGCTACAGCAACATCTTGCGACAGGGCAGTCCTGTGCCTCTCTGGGTGTCCTTGGAAGGGGCATCTATCAGTGGAGTTTGGAAGAAGGGTAGTGAGTATGTGGATAAAGGGGGTTGTGTGAGTACAATAATCCTCCTGCATTTTCAGAAAGCCTTTGAGAAGCTTTTTGTAAAGCTCATTAAACTTTGTAAAGAAAATAAGTTGCCACGAGATAGATCGAGATCTGGTTTTGATTGAAAGCTGTTGTAAAAAGAGGAAGTGAAGGACAGGGCTTATTGGTCAGCCCTCGGAAGGAGATATGCAGAGTCAGAGAATAGTTTAGGTCGGAAGTGACCTTCTGGAGGTCATCTAACCTTAATCAGACCTACTCTGAGCAGGTCTGGTTGCAATAGATTGTTCAAGGATGTGTCTTATATGGAAGGCTTGAATGCTTCCAAGGACGGGGATTCCCTGATCCAATACATAAGCCTCCAATTTCTCTTGATATCCTCACTTGCGACTTGTGGAAGGAAGTCAACAGTGAAATCTTCAAGTCTGCAGATGATACTGAAGTTTTTATCAGGTGGTCAGATGCCAAGTGCTCAGAAATAGAAGTACCTCACAGAACTGGGAAGTGGGAGAAGATCTCTGATGTAGATAACCATGAGATTGAGTGACAAGGAGGATGTAGCAGCTGCCTTCACTTGACCTGTAGTTTGGAGAGGGGAAAGCCGAGTGGGTTATGATAGAGGTTTACATGACTGTAAAAGTAGCAAATGTGGAGGTAATGATCACCTTTGAAAAAGCAAATTTTTTTCACTTTATTTATTTAATTTATTAAATTGATTATTAATTAAAAAAAAAAATTAAGAGCTTTTACTGGTCCACAGTTTTGCTATATTTATGCTAATGGATTTGATGCAATTTTCTGAGGTTTGGGACAGTGGTTTTGTCACCTCTGAAATCAGCTCTGCTGTGCAAGTGTTTGGGCACTGTCAAGTCAGATCGGCTTGGCAGAATTTTTTTCTGGTGTGGTTTTGCTGAAAAATGTTCATAGTCATAGAATCACAGATCCATAAGATGGCATTGTTTGGAAGAGATCTTAAAGCCCATGCAGTCCCATCACCCTGCAATAGACAGGGCTGCCCACCCTCCCAGCTGAGGGCCCCATCCAACCTGGTCTTGAGTGCCTCCAGGGATGGGGCACCACAGCTTCTCTGGGCAATGCCTCACCACCCTTTGAGCAAAGAATTTGTTCTTAACATCTAACCTAACTCTGTCTTCTTATAGTTTAAAACTGTTTCCGTTTGTCCTATCACTATCAGACCATTTAGAAAGTCATAAGCTCCCTTAAAGTGCTGGAAGGCCACAGTGAAGTCTCCCAGAACCTTCTCTTCTCCAGACTGAACAAGCCCAGCTCCCTCAGCCTTTCTTCACAGAAGAGGTGCTCCAGCCCTCTGATCATCTTGATGGCCTGCTCTGGACCTGCTCCAAAAACTCCACATCCTCCTTGTGCTGGAAGCCCCAAGCTTGGGTCCAGTATTACAGGGTAGAGCAGAGGGAGATAACCCCCTCCCTCTCCCTGCTATCACACTTCTTCTGATGCAGTGCAAGATATAGTGTTTCCTGGGCTACAAGCACACACTTCTGTCTCACACTGAGTTTTCCATCCATCAGGACGCCTAAGTTTGTCTCTACAGGGTTGTTCTCAATTACTTCTCTCAATCTGTAGTCATACCTGGGATTGCCCTGACCCAAGTGTAATACCTTTGCACTCATCCTTTTGATCCTCATTTGGTCCACACACTTCTCAAGTCTGTCTAGGTCCCTCTAAATGTTATCCCTTCCTTCTGCTGTGTCAAGCACTCAGCTTAGTGTCATCAGCAAACTTGCAGAGTGCACATCAAATCCCACAGTCTATGCCACTGATAAAGATATTGAAGAGCACCAGTCTAAACATAGACCTATGGGAAACAATACTCGTCTCTGTAGTACTTCTACCAATAGTCCTTAACACTATTTATTCCTTGCTTTCTCACATACAATCTGCTTTTGTTGGCTTCAATTTGGTAGATGGTTGCAACAACAGAAAAACTCCTTTTGTCAGTTTATGCTCTGTTTATGCAAGAGGTCTGGGCTGTCTGATCTTGTAACAGCAATCCTGTAGTTCTGTACAGGTATCAATGCAATTTAAGGCATTAGGAGAACACACTTTTATTTACACACACACACAAATCTTTTGTTATCTGGAGACTCTTTCTATATATATATATATTTCTAAAGATAAATAAATAATGTAAACTTACTTCTCTCTGGGAACAACATAGTTTGTCACATAGTAAAACCTATTAACAACTGAGCAGAAGCTCCATGTATTGTGCAGAATGAGCGAATGGCCAGGATCTTAACAAGGTTGAATCCAAATGCATCAAATCATTTCACTGTCGTGAAAATATGGAGCAGTCTGTCATACATGAATCCATGAAAGTAAGACTGCAGATTTACAAAGAAAAAGTCTTTATCCTTGGATTGGCTGCAGCTATCTATCTCCTTACAATGGAAAATATCATTTCAATTTTGTCAGGAAAGATTGTGCATTTGATTTCTTTTGTTTTGTGTGCAGAACTGGCAGTGCTGGTGAGCCTCTGTGTGATTTAAGGAATGAAAGACAATGTTTTCTGCATCCCTCCAGCCCTGTTGAGAACTCAGGTCCCCCTGGAACTAGATGCAGAGCAACAATTATACTATGTTAGATGAAGTCTTGATTAATTGGGTTGCTTCTCATGAATCTGCCTTATTGACCATTTCTATTTTCTTACTGCTGTTATAATTGTGTATGTGTGTGTACATCTGCATGTGTCTCCACACATACATATATACATGTAAGTGTGCATACATGTGCATACTTAGCTACAGTAGGTTATGTTCCCAAGTTTAGAAGAGTTTTCTATCAAATGTCCTCATTTTCAAAATCTAGACCACTAGAAGATCAAATGTGAGGATTCTATGGAATTTTTTGTGCCTTTTGAATAGTATATTAATGAGCACGACTGAAAGTGTGGATTGGCTCTGATGAAATGAACTTTCAAGTATCCAGTGTTTGGACACCATTAAGGATTTCAGTGTGGAAGACAACACATCACAGTCTGGCAATCATCTGGGAAAAAGAAAACTTTTTTCTTTCATTGTCTAAGCTTTATTGCTACTAAGAAAAAGAATCAGACTTTTTTTTAAAACAAAAAGAAAACTAGAAACGGACAAACAAAGCCCCAGTTGTCATTTGTTTTCTAAACAAAGCTAGCTTGACTAGTGGAAATGTAATAAAGTAAGAAGCAGGATATGAAAATGTTAGTAAATATTGTTTGTTTGCTTCTGTACCCATTTGTTCTTCAGAAGGTCCTGAAGAATTTATAATAAAAATACAAAAATTACTGCCTGTCTTCATTAGTATGTGTCAGATACCAGTGCTTGGTCCAGTCCATCAATACAAAATAAAAACGTTGTCAGTGGACCATCACCACCTCCCGCTTCTGGCACCAATGGAATAGTACTCTCTCAGATTGAGCACTGTTGCGAAGTAAAGTTCTCTTAATTATTCTACTCATACTCCTAACGAGGCCTGTTCTGAATGAGTCCTTGGCTGTGGGATTAACAGCAGGATGTGTTCACCCAACTGAAGGAGTTCATTTATCTTGTAAAGTGTTTCTGTTTTGTTTCTTACAGTAATGTGTGCAGCAGCTTTGGGTAGAAAATATGTGATTTCAGGCTGAATTTGTTTTCAGGTGGGATTGCATTAGTATTTATTTTAGGAGGACTGCTCCAAAAATAGTGCCTCATATTTTATGATGCTGGCCCATGAGATCACAGATGGTTGTTGGTGGTATGGCAGTAGAGGTTTCATCTCTGCACCATTATCCCATTGCATGTTGTTGCTGTGTGACAGATTGCAGCAGAGGGGCAGTCTGGCAGAACGGTGTCTCACAAAGAAGTGTATGAAGTTGTGTCACTGAATTGCTTCATAAAGAGACAGTGGCACCCACTGACATTTGCTGATGCTTGCTGAATACTGATAGAGACCAAACAGTGGATGGAGCACAGTAAGGGGTGGGTAGTGCATTCCAGCAGCGGCACCTACGATGTGAAAGGCAAGCCACGTTCAGGATGGCCATGTACAGCTGTCACACCACAAAATGAAGGGTGTATTAATCAGCTCGTTCACGTGAATTGCCTAATGGTGGTGACTATGCTGAAAAATAGTTTTGTAGCAAAGAGCTTTCTCTGTCAAGTTGTACTGTTTTACCCTGTGTTGTAGTTTCCATGGAAACAAATAGGAGGCATTATATTCGGAGCACCCTCGGCTCCAAAAAGAGTGTTGTAAACAGCACGGTAACGCTGGAAAATCTGCACTTAAATGCAAGTGCATTTAAGAAGCCACCAGCGCAATGTTAACTGACTCCAACGAGCAGGGCACGACCGGTCCTCCGCACTGCTCTGTCCCGCACCCCGACGCAGGAGGTCAGCGCCGGAGAGTGCCCCGCTGCAGCCCAATGCTGTTCTCGGTGCCCGCCGCGGCCGCACAGCTTTCCACCGGCCCGCACAACGTCAGCTCGCTCTCCCCACTGCGTCTGCCCTGCTCCAGCTGGCTGACGTCAGGATGCATGGCCGTGACCGAGCGGACGGCGCTCGGCGTACGTGTGGGGTTCGGCTCCAGCCGCGGGTCGGTGCAGCAGGAGCTGCTGCTGCTTGTTCTGCTGCTGCAACCGCTGCAACAGCTGCTCCCACCGTGCGTCGCTGCATCCCGGCGGCTGGAGCGGCAGCAGGGAGCCGGGCATCCGCACGCAGCGGGGACATGTTGCGAGATTCCCGGACGTCGCATCCGTAATCCCTGGCATGGAGCAGCGGGCGGCCGAGAGGGCTGGAGGCTGGTAGCGCCAGCAGCAGCGCTCCTCTTCTCCGCTTCGCCCCGCTGTTGGATCCGAGATCATGTACGTGCTCGGCTGCTGGTTACCGGGGGTGCTAACGCCGAGCTAAGGAGGAGGATTCGAAAGGACTGACGAGTTGGTTTTGATTTTAATGATTTTTTTCGCTCTTTCTCGCCCCTGTCCTTGGTCTTTCATTGTTTTTGTTCCAGGTCAGTTAATATTGTAGCTTTCGGGAATGAGAGAGACGTGCTTTCTGAAGACAGCCAGCAGTCGAGTCTGATGTGGAGCTATCTCAGGAGGAGCGCTCTCATTTCCGAGATCGACAGCAGCCCGTCCGCCGAGCACGCCAGGAGCCCCGTCACCACCGAGTACCAAGCCTGCGTCTTCGGCAATGTCAGGCTGGTGGTGCACGACTGCCCGCTCTGGGTAAGAGATCCGCCGGGATCCATGCAGCTGCACCCAGCGGGGCAGGCTGCTTGGATCAAATAGAAAAATTTCGGTTTTCGGTTACCTCGCGATTTTAATCACTTTCTCATCTGAAATGTAACCAAAGCGTGTTGTAGTCTCAGGGAACCGTGGCAGAAAGTTTCTCATTGACGAGGTGGGAGATGGTATTTTCAAGCAGGCTGTTTGATGAAAGCTTCACTGGAAATAATCCACAGATAAACAAGAGCACTGTTGGTGACACTGCATCATAAAATCTCTCTCAACATATTTATCACCAACAGTAAAATGAAACATATATTATTTTCCTGTAAAGTTGGAAAGGCATACGATTTTCCAGCTTTGAAAAGTGACATATGCTATTATTTGTCCTCTGGTAAAATACACTGTGTCGAGTCATTTTAATTCTATTATAATCATTATATATTTCTTACATTGGAAGGTAAATAAAAAGAGTTCTGGCAGTGGACCGTGTTATTGGGACCCTTGTTAGTAAGTGACACAACTGCAAATATGAACAGACAATGATTACACAAGAAATGACACTGGCAATCTCTAATAATGACTAGTTTGTTGACTTAAAAAAAAAAAAAAATAGCTTTAACGAATTAAAATTCTGAGACCATAATCAGACCTGTAATTATTCAACCCAGCAAGGGAAATTTGTTTTGGAATCTACAGGAATCCAAAAGTTGCAGAAATTCATGTTTAGGAGGTTGTAATCTGAAAACTGAATCATTTGATTCAACCATCAACCTGCGGTATGATTCTTTTTTTAAAATCACTTATAGACACCGAATGGAACTGAGGACTCTGTTTTCAGTCTTTGAAGCTGCATGTTACATGTGTGTCACGTGTTGTTTGGTTGGTTCACTGGAGCACAGCAATGAATGAAAGTTGCTGGATATTATTCATTGCTGTGGGACTTCACAGGAGATGTCAAGGGAGATCAGTAAGCGAAGTTGGAAGGGGACAGCGATAGCTGGAAAAAGGTAGGATAGGAAATACAGGTAGGCCTAGTTTTAAGATGCAGTTTTCATATTTTTGTGTTGGTTTATATGCAATTGACCTTCCAGAGAACAAGATTCTTCATTTCTGGAAACATTATCACTTTGGGCACAGAAAAGCTATCTTGTTGTCTATGGCATTGTATTTTTGAGAATTGGCCTCTTGTTTTTCCCTTTTTCAGCTGAAGGAGCCGGGTGAGGGAGCACTGAGGAACAGTAGGCATTCTTCACTTAGCCAAAGGCATCTCAGATAGCTGGACTGCACTCCCTGGGAGGGCTTTGGTTTTGAGAGAAGCTGTTTGCTTGTTAGAGTACAGCAGAACTGGATTGGTGTTCATAGTCTAGATTCTTGAGGTCTGTTGACATCATTGTTGTCCTTGCAGGATTGTTCTTTTTGTAGACATATTGCATTACAGCTGAGAACAGTGACTGATGGCCCCACAAGAATTGTTACTAACACTTCACATTCTTTGAGGAAAAGGATTCTTATTTCCTATGTGTTACTGATGCTTAAAGGTATTGGGATGGTGGGCTTTGTATTGTTTCCATCTCTGTCATTTGAAATTAACTTCCATTTTACCTCAATTTGTATTTTATCTAGATTAAATCCACATGGCTAAGGCAGGCTAGCACTAGATATAAACTCAGCAAACGAATACACTGATTTACTATGAGTCTACTAATTAAAGGGTGGCAAGCTGCCTTTGCCCTCTGCACTCCTCAGTTCAACTCGCTGTCTGAAAAAAGCATCATGGGTACAATTTACAAAGTTTTCTTATGGGTTCTTCTGTGAGACAGATCGTGGTATAATCATGGAGTCATAGAATGCCTTGGGTTGGAATGGACCTTAAAGCCTACAAACCCAACCCCCAGCCATAGGCAGGGCTGCCACCTACCAGGTCAGGGTCCCATCCAACCTGGGCTTGAGTGCCTGCAGGAGTGGGGCATCCACAGCTTTTCTGGATAATGCCTTACCACTCTCTCAGTGAAGAATTTCTTCCTAACCTTTATCTTCCCTCTTTTAGTTTAAAATAATCCCCCCTTGTCATATCAGATAATGTAAAAAGTGTATTTCCTTCCTGCTTGTAAGTTCCCCTGAAATACTGGAAGGCTGCAGTGAGATCTCCCTGGAGCCTTCTCCACTCCAGGCTGAACAAGCCCAGCTCCCTCGGCCTTTCTTCAGTAGGAGAGGTCATCCAGCCCTCTGTGGGCTCCTCTGAACCCTTTCCAGCATCTCTGTGTCTGTCTTGTTCTGGGAGCCCCCTTGTAGAAGGTCACTAAATTAATCAGGCATGATTTGCCCTTAGAGAAGGCATGCTGGCTATCAGTAAACAGCTCTCTGTTCTCTGTATTCATTAGCATAGTTTTCAGGAGGATCTGCTCCATTGTCTTGCTGAACACAGAGATGGAATTAACAGGTCTCTGTTCCCTGGGTCTTTCTTCTTCTCTTTTTAAAAATGGCAATTGTGTTTCCCCTTTCCCAATCAGTGGGAACTCCATCACAATTTCTCAAATATGATGGATAGTGGCTTAGCAACTTTACCTCCCAGTTCCCTCAGGGCCCACAGATGCATCTCATCACCCTGTGCACCTTCAGATTCCTTAGATGGTTTTGAACCGAATCTTCTTGTACAGTGGATAGTATTTCATGCTCCCAGTCCCTTCCTTTGGAGGGGTAATTACACTTGAACACTTGCTTGGGAAGATGGAAAAAAAAAATTGGCTGAGTACCTCAGCCTTTTCCATATTCCAAGTAACAAGGACTCCTGTTTCCTTCAGGGCCCACATTTTCCCCAGTCTTGCTTTTATCACAGACATACTTACATAAGCCCTCCTTGTTGCCTTCTACATCCTTGCCCAGATTTAGCTTTTCATGCTTGATCCCTGGCTGCTATGGCAATGTCTTTGTATTCCTCCCATGTTACCCATCCTCTGTAGACCTTCCTTTTGTGTATGAGTTTGCCCAGGAGCTCCTTGTTGCAGGCCTACTGGCCTTTTTGCCATTCCTCTTTGTTGGGATGCATTGCTCTTGAGATTGGAGGGGGTGATCCTTAGGTACGAACCACCTGTCTTGGAAATCTCTTTCCTGTAGGACTTTATCCCACTGTACCCCAATAAGCAGTTCTCTGAAGAGGCAAAAGCCTGCTCCTCTGAAGTGCAGAGCAGTGAGCTTGCTGTGTGCCTTCCTGATTGACCTAAGGATCTCATGTCACTACAACCAGGACTACATTCAGGATACACAATCCCCACAAGCTTTTCTTCTTGTTGATGAGAATGAAGTTCCTCACTGCACCTCTCCTCACTGAGCCCTCTATCACTTGCCTGGTGTATTGTCATCCAAGATTCCTGTCTGTCTACAGTGGGCTTCATTTGCTCAGTCTTCCTCATCAGGTGGCCTGTAGTAGAACCCCCACTGTAAGGTGAATTATTCCTGCTCTCCTCTTAATTCTAACCCTTTAGCTACCGTCTGCTTCTCAGGCAGAGTTCCATATGCTTCACCTGGTCAGTGACACAGAGAGTGGCAACACATTTTCTCCACTGTCTGTCCTTCCTGAAGATCCTGTATCCTTCCATTATAATGCTCCAGTTGTGGGACACATCCCACCACATCTCTGTGATGTCTGCAGGCATGTGCACGTCTCTAACTCCTTGTGTGTCAAAAGCCCAGGTGGGGTTGGTTGAACTCTTGGCATCTTGCTGCATTCCATAAATCTCTTTGAATGGGTTGGGTTGTGTCAGGGTCTTTCAGGAGCTACTGAAGTCCTGCTGGGTTGGAGAAACATCAGAGATCTGGACTGTGCAATGAGCATCACCTTTGTGGTGGCATTGTTATCCTTTGCTGTTGAGCAGCAGCTCAGTGGTGAGGGTGTGGTATTAGATGACAGGAGGTGGCTACCAAACTGTCCAGCAAGGAAGTAAAACTTCTTGGGCATAGTTATCTATAGGTAATTTCTGTCACAGGCAGAAATTCTACCGGCTCTGTGGAGTAGTATTCCTGATCTAATATGAGGCTAGAGCTGCTTTTTTTTCACACAGCATTTCTGTTTTGACCCTGCAGGAACTTTTAGTATGTTCACTGCCTGTGCTGGGTGCTGCAATCTTTGATATCACTATTCTTAGAAAATTACAAGAACAAAATCATGTTTACAAATGTGCAAAGCAGCAGCAGTGTGTTGTGAGGAGACTTGTACCCTGGTGGCAGCTGCAGGGTGCAGGAGAGTACTGCGGGCTTTGGGGAGGGTGCTCACCATCCCCCCTCAGTCATGCAGAAGACCTGGGGCTTTAGAGATAGTAATGGAGCATACTTTTCAAAATCTGTTCTTGTAAATGTAAAATGTCACTGCTTCCAAAACGGCACTGATGTCCATCTGTCAGGTGCTGGGTGTATCTCTGTGTCCTGCAGTGTCCACTGCGTTTGCAAAGTTGCATGCTGATACCTTCTATGTGCAAGGGACAGATACACCAGATGACCATTACTTAGAGATTGATATGGCTGGAACACATTTGGACAAAAAATATGGACCTGGTATGAGAGGGGAGATGAAGAAGTAGAGAAAACATATGTGTGCTATCACCCTTGCTGCATATTTTATTTGTAGTGACCAATAAGTTCCTACTGCACTCTCAAGCTGGGTTCTCATAAAGCACACTGAACTAGTATATCATACCTTTTCTAATTTTATTTTTTTATAAACCTGATTAACGGGAGTTAGAAATTTGCAAGGAATAATTTGAAAGGTAAATTCTAAGGTTCACTTTAGAAAAGGTTGCTTTATTTAGGAAGCTGTGGTTGTATTAGATTTTACAGTCTTTGGAAGTGAGTTGACTTGTCTGTGATTTGAATCTTCTGTCACTTTATATTGAGTTCAGTTATACTGCTGCATGTATACAGGTAAAAACTGCAGGAAAAGCACAGACATCCACAATCTGCAGTATCAAATGGCAAGTATATCTTTATCAGCTTCAGAGCGAAGTATAGCACAGAAACTATAATTTATATTTTGATTTGCTGAATTGGGGTGTTGGAAAATAGGAGTGAATGAACGACATTGTGAGTCACCCCTTGCCTGCATTACTTTTTCTTTCCTCCATTGTTTGGAGCAGTACCATAAGGACACTGGAGCATTTCAGTTCGAGGTAGGGGTTGTACTCTCCTTTTCATATTTTTTTCCTCTCTGAGTGACTTGTTATTCTTCCTCAGGGAGCAATATGTCCAGAAGCTTGCTTCCTCTAGTTCATAAAAGATGCTTGATTTCTGGAATCTAAATCTCTGACATCACTGTGTTCCCTGGGGCATGTAGGTTCTGAAAGGAGAGAGGAGAGCAGCTGCAGTTTGAGGAGTGCTTTGTGCTTGACCATGCAGCTGCAATGGGATGTGCTGTGCTTACACCTGCTCCCAAGTACAGGCCGTGCTACCCACAGGGCTGCAGACCTCCATTGCACTCACTGTTGTACAGATATGCTAACTGCCATTTTAAAAAGCTCTCTTTTGATTTTTTTTTCAGAAAACTGCTTTTCCACTACGTCTTTCCATGAGTTTTACCACATTTTTTCTTCTTTCTTTTTTTTTTTCTTCCTTTCGTTTTTTTTCTTTGAATTGTTTGAGGTTTCTTATCTCCACGGTGTTATCCATGGTGCAGTTATCTAGCTTTTCCTTTGCAGCAATATCCTTTTGCTCAGCCTTCTGGCTAGGCTGGGTGGCCCTCTGTAAGTCTGAAGCCAAAGGAGCCTCATCTGCCTTTTAATTTTATTCATTGTTTTTAAAAATACAGTCATATTACTGCTTTGGGACAAAACCATAATTTGCAATTTTTTGTTTTTTGGTATGTTGACTTTTCTCAATTAAAAATTTTCTGTCTGATGTTGGCAGATTACAGTGTGTGTTCAAAACATGGTAAATTATTTTTCCCTAATTTTACTTTTTACAAATATTCTTACATCATTTTACGAGAAAACGATGCAGAGAAGGCTCAGTTAATGTTGAGTGAATCCATGATCCTAGACAGAGGTGAGCTTCCCAACAGCCATGGCACAACCATCTTGGACCCCAGGAAAACTCAAGGGGAATGGGACTCAGCCATGGTCAGGCTCCCATGCCCTGCTGCTGCTGCATGGACTTGTGGAAAGAGAGTGGGCACTGCAAGGGCACAGTGGATTTCACTGCAATTCCATACAGGCATTCATAAATTATTTATGACAAAGCTACTATTGTCCTCTAGAGGAGCCATGTGATTTTGCAGGAAAACCACGTCTTCATTGCCTCTAAAGGCTTTGTTTTCAGTGTAACTCCTTGAGAAGCATGATTCACCAGTGGAGAGAATACCTTGTGAGAGAGGTACGTAGTGGAGGCATGTAAGGGAGGAGTGCACCTTGTTTTCTAGTAAGTCCCAAAAGGAATAGCAGCAGCCCTCTGGCCGTAACTAATAAGGTCACATCATTGGAGCAGTAACTATGCATTTATTCTTTTTGTAAGTGTCTGTCTCGGGAAGTAGACTGTGCCAAGAGCAGGAAGTGTGATGAGAAGTAGCTGCTACATGAGTGTCATAGACAGAACCTGGTCATTGTTATTCCTGAACTTATCATCTAAAGAAATTCCTTTGCAATTTTCATATTAAAACTTTCCTAAAACTGATAACTAAGAAGTACTTAGTATGGCTAAAGCTCCAGATGCTCTGTCCTAGTGCTATCTTGAGCAAAAATCCCTTTGTTTTGTCAGAGACATTTTTGAAGCATTTTCCCTGCCATGAAAGCAGTAATCTAAAAGAAATACTCCACATTTGAAGCAAAATGCAAATAATTGCAACAAGACCTCTGGGGATGTGTCTTACTCTGCTGCGTTTGTACAGGTAACATCTATTTTCAAGAGTGGGCTTTGGGGCATGTGTGAGAGTTTAGGAAAACTGCACAACACAGTTCAAATTGGGTGTCACGAAGCTTTGATCTGGTGCATCCAGCATTGTTCTACCTTCTTTCATATGCTCAGGACTGGCTCTTTTCCTGGGAAAGAGGATTCCATCCCCACCAGAACTTTGTCAGTGTTGCTAAAAATGCTTCTTTTTAGGATTAGCAGAGACACACAGTGGTGACACAGGGTAGTGGACAAAAGTACAGACCTCCACAAAACTGCTGCAGTATGCAGCCACATGCAACTAAGAACTTGCTACAGCCTGTGCTAAGTGTCCGTAAGACCTTTTTTCCTAGAAATTCAACAACAAAGGGCTATATTCATGCATCTGCACAGTTGCTTCTGTTAAGGATACTGCCACAGCTGCAGAGACGGAGACACAAAAGTACAAAAGGATTTTTAGCCCATTACATACAAAGTAATGGCCAGGTCTTCTTGTCGTTTTTCTTTTGTCATCCAAACTAAATGTTTTTCTTATTAACATTGTCTTCAAAAGGAAAAGTGTATGTATTCCTTTGCTGTATGTTGAGTTCTTAAGCTACTATAATGTTAATGGCACAATGCAGTCAAACACAAGTCAAGTACAAAATACGCTGTTGAGATTCTCGCAAGAAGAAGAGGCTTAGAGCTGTCATTAGTAGGATTTAGGGCAAGGATGGTGTTCCACGACAATCTTTTCTTGGACTATGGTCTCTTTGAAGATCTGGGCTAAGGGCTGAGGCCAGAGCAGAGTGTGTGTATTAGAGAGTTCATGTCATGTCCAGAGTTGACAGGGCTGGTGTCAGGTTGGAGACACAGGGTGCTTTGCTGGAGAAAGAATACCCACTATTCTTATCACAGACGTACTTAAGTTAATGTGTCAATATTTACTTTGAAACATGCGTGTTCTGGGTAGCAATCCAGATCTTTTGGGTTTGGATGAGATGGGGTCTGAAGGTCTTTCTAGACACAGATGTTCCTCTGCTGCAACTGAGGTCTAGGCTTAGGCTGAAGCTAAGTCTTATGATCAGAGCTGGTTCTTTTTTGGAAGGATTTCTGAGTTCATATTCACAAAACCTCATAAGTCTTTCTAAAGTCTTTCTTTGTGATATGAAATGATACTATAGTATATCAGAAGTATATTTATCTCTGTTGAAAAATGGAAAGACCTACATTTACAGACATGTAACACGTAAAAATTACTTATTACATTTAGCAGGAAGTTTCCATAAATGTTATATTATTGATGCTTAAGCTTACTGGGAATTCTTGTGTATTTGTGCACTGGTGCTTGAAGTTGGCAGTGGTGATATTACTGGTCATCCCAAATATCATAGGAACAAATGTGCAAATGTGCTGGGCTAGAACTCGAGCAGGTAGAAGGAAGTTGCTAAGCAACAGGCATACTATCTGTCTTTCAAATGTAATGGCTAAATATTCTCTACTGCTTTTTGGTTTGTGTTTTACTTTTCATTAAACCTTTGATTTCATGTAACCCTATTGAAATGCTTCTCTTGAGACATTTATCAGCTAAAAAGTGTAATAGCTTCCCCCTGAATATTCCTGTTCTTATTCCTGGCAATGTGATCAGTTTCTGTGAATGCTCATCTGGTTGATTTTCTCCAAGGATTGTACCCAGTATTCTTATTACAGAGGTACTTAAGTTAATGTGTCAATATTTACTTTGAAGCACATGTGTTCTGGGTAGCAATCTGGATCTTTCTGGTTTGGATAAGATGGGGTGTGAAGGTCTTTCTAGGCAAATATTTGCTGATTTATAGACTTCCATCAAGTTTGTGCTATCTCTTCTTATTAAATGTGGAGACAATATTAATTATTCAGGCAGATGTGGAACAGCGCCTCTTTTGAAGTGATCAAAAATACCTATATTGACTATGAAAGACCTATTGATATTAGTAATCTTCTATGAATGTCTTTGGTTCCTAACTGTAAAGTTTTTATGCCTCTGACCCATTCTTCGGAACTCATATGCATTTTCCTTCTCACCCAACCCTCCGTTTGAGGCCAGTTCTCCTGTCACTTCTTTTGTGCCCATTTCCTCCTCTCTTCCATGTGTTCCGTATTTCATCATTGTTTGTTTCCATTCTTTTTCTCAAGATCATCTTTTCTTCTAAGTTGTCCTCATGCTGTGTAGAACTGTTCAGAAAGACGTTGCTATTTTTGGGTTTTGAGTTGACTCTCAGTTCTCTGGATAATTTCCAGATTTCTTTTTGTCAAGAGTTTTCAGTTGTGCATATGTGAAAACCTACTGGTATTTCTGAATTAGCCCTCGATAGAGCAGATATTTTGAAATTACAATTGCCATGCAAATGATAAATACATAAATATTAATTGCATATTACGTGTAGGCGTAATACATGGAAATTAATTGGAAACAAAATACTTTAAGAGTGTAAATCTTAATCTAATAGCCCCGAATAATGGCAAATTGAATGGGAAGTCAAGGAAGGAAAGTTACTTATGTGACTAAGATCTTTTCAGTGAAAATATTGATGTTTGTTTCTACTTGGAACCACTTTTTGTGACTACTACTAGTAGTTTTGGAACTATTTTTATGAAGTGGGTAATAATTACATTCCACTGATGAAATTCATATTGAAATGTTCCTATAGTATTGTGCTCTGTACACAGCTGTGTAAAATATTTTGATAATTAATGATTTTCTATGAAATTTATAGTAACGGATTTCTACCACTGAAAGTTCTTTTATTTCCTTAGTACAAACAGTTGCAAAAGCTAAGTGACTGTAACAACGGTATTTCTTCTGGTAAGTGTGTTCCTAGATAAACACAATTAGAATGACTTGTTTCCCAAACAACAGAATTACAGAGTATCAATTCTGGTCTTATTTGCATGTCTTCAAATAGGAAATTAAAATACTGCTGGAAAGTACTTCACTAAGATCTTGCATTAAAGAATGTTGAATAGTTCTTCTTTCCATCTCTGGCCAGGAGGATTCTTGATCTGTTTTTTTCCATTTAGGATATATTTGACAGTGACTGGTATACCTCTCGCAGTCTCATTGGAGGAGCTGATATTATTGTGATTAAATACTCTGTCAATGACAAGACTTCATTTCAAGACTTAAAGGACAGTTATGTTCCAATGATAAAAAAGGCATTAAACCACTGTTCAGTTCCAGTAATAATTTCTGCTGTTGGTGCAAGAAAAAACGGTATGTATCTGATCTGCTGAAGTTATTGTTAAAATATCACTTAGAAGTGAGATATGTAGTAATTTCACAAGAAGCTGATTGCTTTTCCAGGTCTCTAACACACACAATTAGTCTGTCAGAATGACAGTAATATGCTTATGTACTGTGGTTCTGTAGGCTGGCATGTGGGAGGGAACATTATGCTTAATTAACCCTGGTGACAAAAGGCTTCCTATCCTGCCCTGACCTCTGCAGCAACTCTTTTTGTGAAGTCATCATACACGGGGATTTAGTCTATCTCTTGGGCTTAGGAGGCATAAGTCTGAGCGTATGAGATGAATTCTATAGCTACTTGTTCTTTCTGTCCACGCTGCAGGTATCATGTATCTCTAGCACATGGCATGAAACAGTGCATCAGCTTGCAGCCACCCATGAGGGGTGAATGCCAAACGTCAGCCCGAGTTACTTTTACTTAACACGTTTGACTAAAACAAATGTTTCTGAGCATCCCACCTGCTAAGAGTGAAGGATGAGATTTATGAGCACATTTATAAACAACATGAGGTTTATATTCCGTGGACATAACATTCAGTTTTGCCAGAACCAAATTGCATATCCTTTCACTCAGTGATGGAGAAAGGATTTTTAAGGAACTCGGTAACAGTTAAAACTGTATAATTGTTATTGCCTCAAGTAAACCACAAGCAGTAACAAGATGTTTTCATGCTCTGATTTATACCAGAGTAATAAATCTGCCGTTCAAGAGGTAAGGTCTTGATGAGGTGGTGCTGGGCTTTCCCAGCTCTTTCTCTTACCTGCTGTTGCTATTTGAAGCACAGGTCCTGCCAGCCTGGCAGACTGCTACTGGCATTTTCCCTGTCCAGTTTTTCCCTGCCTCTCTCCTTGAACAGGCTCAGTGTGGGAGAGGTCTGGCTGCGACCCACTTGGGCTCACAGAGAGCCCTTTTGTTTCTGAGCAGTATGTGCGAGCGCAGCAGCTTGCTTGCACAATTACTAAGAGCTTAATCCTTTGTCGCAGCAAGTATTGCTGCCAAAAGAAATAAAAAAGGCAGTGTTAATGCATGCTATCCATGGGTCAGAGCAGTGGAAACTAGTCTAGAGCATGTGCATTGTATCTGAACGCACATTTTTACAGGTAAGTTCTTACAGGCATTAAGCAGAGTTGCACTTGGGTGGCTAGTAGATTTTAATCAGGCTTTTTATGGTCTTCAAGAGCACCTATCTTGGCATTAAGTAATATGCAAAATATATGTGAATGAGCTGTATTCTGCTGCACGTATGTGCTCACAGCAGCTGGGACAGCCAGTGGAAAATTTTCCATAGCTGAGAGCTGTGTGAACAGGTTGCACTGCAACAGGCTGGAGAGTGAGAATGAATGGCGGTGCCTGCAGGCCAGAACAATGCGTGTGGACACAAGGACACACAGGACCCAACCCAAATCAGATTTCTGAAGGCACTGCTTGATTTCTGTGCAGATTTCAGAACGTCCTACTCAAATTCTCTGCCTTGCACTGAATTTAAATTGAATGTAAATGGCATTTAAAACAATGTGAATGTAGAATAAACTGGGTTTTGTGTAGTATTTTGCATACTATTTTGAACCGATTACAAAGAAGTTGTTCATTTAGCCATGATTATAGATTTCTTACTAGAAAATAACTGCTCCCACTTCCCATTTTGTTACTGTCTGAACAGAACATCTTTACAACTCTTTAGGAAGTATTCCAATTGCTGGAGCACAGTGGCTCACCCATGTCCCTGTTTCCCAGCAGTGCCCTGTACGTGCCCACTGTGCACTCTGGACAGGAGGAGCTGCGTCACTACTTCTGAAGGGGCCCAGCTGGCCAAGGAGTTTGGAGCCACCTACCTGGAGCTGCATGCTCTCAATGACTTCTACATACAAAAATACTTTGGAGGCGTGGTGAGTGTGACACAGTTCAGTCCAACACTGAGCTCAGACCTGGGCTGCAGCTGCAGCTGATTGGGTCACCTCCCTACGTCCCTTCCAACTTGATAACTCTATGATGTCCTGATTATTATTTTTTTCAACTTTCATCTCTTGCTCCCTCACTGTTGTCCCACTTGTAAAACGAAAATGATAAGGTTGCTGAAGTGACTGATTTTTTAGCATATTGTTGTGGTCTCTCAGTTCTCATTCAAGCCTTATGGGGAGCGGCTGAAAGAACTGGGGTTGTTCAATTTGGAGAAGAGGAGGCTTAAGGTGGGGGTGTATTGCTCAGTACAACTCACTGAAATGGGGTTGTAGAGAGGCGGGGGTCAAGCTCTTCCCTTAGGCATGAGCAATAGGACAAGTGGTAGTGGCCTCAAGTTGTGCCAGGGGAGGTTCAGTTTGGATGTTAGGGAAAATTTCTTTTCGGAAAGAGTGGCAATACACTGGCACAGACTGCCCAGGGAGGCGATGGAGTCAGGGTCCCCGGAGGTGTTTGATACATGTGTGAATGGGGCACAGAGAGACAGAGTTAGTGGGCACAGTAGGGATAGACTGATGGTTGGACTTAGTGATCTTAGTGGCCTTTTCCAGCTTTAATGATTCAGTGATTTTAATCCCAAGCAGAAGCCAGTGTCAGCTGCAGTAAACTCATGTGAGACGGAAGCTGAAAAGCTTGTTAAATACACTTCACCTATAACCAGCATTTTCCTTTTTCATTCTTCTGGGTACAAGGAGATCCACTAAGCAGTTTCAAACTTCCAGATTTATTTGTCTTTATAAAATTATTTCAGCTAAATGTTTAATTTTAAGTTTTATGAGATGTTTTAAACAGCATTTTAAAAATAAATCTTTTTTTTTACTTCCCTGGTAGCATTTGGGTTTGGAGAAAAAAAATGCAGCAGTTTGGTACAGTGATTTCACATGATCTTTACGATAGTCCCTGAAATAATAATGCAGTGTTTTTCCATGGGGTCTGATAGACATTTGACATATCTGACACATCAATTAGTCAATTTTTATTGGATGCATTTGTTTCTGATTAAAAACAAGGAATCCTCTCTACGTCTTGTCCAAGCAGGTCTGCTGGTTTTTAGAAAGTACTGTGTGCACCTTGGATGCTAGAATTGTTTAACACCTCCTTTAGCTAGAACAAAGCTACCCTTTACACGTCTTTGCTCTTGTAAAATGGACAATTTCACCTGAAGTACAATTTTATTGCAGTGATCATGCTTGCTGTGTCCTGTGGTAAAACAAACCCTGCTCACACAGATCATGTTGTAACGTGATTTTTCCAGAATGCACATTACAGCAGGGTGTCCAACCTCTTGCTTGCCCGGGCCACGCTGAGTAAAGAGGAATCATCTCAGACTGCATATAAAATATATGATGTAGTTAATGTCAATAAGTAACAAAGCTTCTTTTTTTATATACATTTTTCATTAAAAGTTAGAAAAAGAGGACAAAAAAAGTAAAACTAGTGGACTGGACACATATGCATTAGGCATTGTGTGGTGCTGGTTAGCTGCCAGCTGAAGAGCTCATCTATGGCTTTGTTGTTTCCATTACTTGCTCCTGATTCTTACTAAGTCTTATTATTCTCTGTAATTGTATAATTCGCAACCACTGGAAGTTGATAGATTGAATATCTTCATGCCTGTCATTTTTGAGGAGATTAAATACAAGGGGAAAAAAAACACTGCCATTTGAATAAATCATCTTTTACATTATGCCAATTCCAATTAAGTTTGGTACATTATGCTGTTAAAGAAGTGCTAGGACTCTGGCAACCTGGATAACCGTTTGTAATGGCTGCCAGTTCAGTCCTCCATATAGCATCCACTCATTGTCCTTAGTTTCATGTCTAGTTTGTTCTTGAATTAATAGGACTTCTTAAAAATATGCTTCATGTTCTAGCTGGAATATTTTATGATCCAAAGTTTGAATCAGAAGTCATCTGAGAAAATGAAGAAAAGAAAAAAGACCCAGAAGTGCCATAGAGTGCAGCCACCTCAGCTGGAACAGCCAGGTGCTGGCCGATGTCTGGTCTCTGCTGTGTGTGTGGTGTTCTTTATGCAGTTAACATTTTGTGGTAATTATTCTGAGCTGTGTTACCTGTCATCAGCTATTCTGGTTATGTTGCTCTATTTGGACAGTCTCTTAGTGCTGGTTTAATTAACTTGAGGAGAACTGTGCAATGTTGCAGTGGACTTTAATATATTTTAGACAAAAATAGGTGTCATTTTCTCATATACTTGACAAAAAAAACATGAATGTACATATTGATACAAGCTTTATGTAAAAGATTTACAGATACATTTAAAAAGGCAGTAATTAGCTAATGCTTTGTTGTAGGATTTCAGCAAGTAACTTTTTTATTTGCTGAAAATAAAACAAGGGAAATGTGTGTACAGCTACACTTGAGCTACTGCACCTAGTTTCCAAGCATCTGATGCACATATCCAGTGCAGTAATCACTGACAAGTGTTTACCTTTCAGAATGTATTTATCTTTTCTTGTGCCTACTAGAAAGCCACTCTGATCATGATGTTTGGCATTAGCTGCCAAGGTTTGTTTTGAACTTGAGTGCCTTATGAGGTTTTCTAAGAGGGTGGACATCTTTTACTGAACATATTCTACTAGATATTTCCACCGCTGTAGCAATTTACTAAGTGTATTGAAATTGCATGTAAGATATTTTCTTACCAATTTTGTTTTCAAAAATTGTCCTTGATTTGATCAGATTTCTGGGGAGAAAATATTCTGTAGGTAATAATTGCCACAATTTTACAGACTGCTTCTTAACTCTCACAGAAAAAATGCCCATTCTAAAAGGCGAAGCCTCGCACTATGACTCCGACCTGCACAACTTGCTATTCTGCTGCCAGTGTGCAGACGTGGCCTTTTACTCAGAAGACTCCAGCAAAGTGGTGAAAGCTCACAAGGTCATCTTGTGCTCGGTGAGCCACGTCTTCATGTTGCTCTTTGATGTGAAGAGTCCGGCGGACATCCACGACCCCTCCATCCTGCGCACAGCACAGAACCTGTTTGCAGTGGAGGCTGGGGCTGGGCTGCTCACTCCTCATGGTGTGCCACCGTGCAGTGTGCCTGTCAGGGTGGTCGTTAAGGACTCTGACTTCTGTTCCTGTCTGTCGGACATCCTGCACTTCATCTACTCAGGTACCCTGTGAAAATGAGCCCATCTGCTCAGTTCTGCTGCTACAGCAAATGTCCTGCTCAGGAGCACATGCATTAACTGAAGAAGCATGCTTTAGCTGTCATTGGGTCATGCTGCGTTGCTGCACCTACCTTATCCCTTGTGATCACTAGCAACTGAACATGAAAGAAGCCCTTTACCCACGTGTAATTTCAAAACTAAATTAGCTGTCATTCCTGATCTAATGAACAAAGCTTAATACTTTACTTAACAATTTCTACAAGCCAAAGTCAATTATAAATTATATTCAAAGCTTTACTAATAAAATCTAGACCTTGTGACAGTTTCACATTCCAGGGTTTTTAATTATTTTTAGAAAACATTTAGATTGACTGCATTCTCTAAACATGTAGAAGAGAATGCAGGGTTACAGAGGTAAAACTTCTTGTTTTCTCTTCTATATATGGTGGTACTCCAGAGAAAACAGTGATAACTGGTCTGAACGCAGAGCACTTCTATATTTTTGCTATCAATTAAATATAGGCAGTGGTCTCACCTAAATGGGATTAGCCATCCAGACAATTGAAAGATGCCAAAAAACTACAACTGTCTTTGAAACTACCACAGCAAAGTGTACAAGGATAAAATTTGTGCTTCCGTAATTTTTCCTTTGACCACTGCCACCTGAACTGCAGCTCAGGTTTAGCAATAATATTATTTACTGCAAATAATTTTTTGACAGTTTAGGCCTTCAGAGCCTTCACAGGCCATCAGAAGGCCATTTTAACTCTGACCAATTTTTGAAATATTTAGCTTAGATTAATTTTTGAAAGAAAGCTATTGAGATACATAACAGAGTACCATCAGTTTGACTCTGAAAATCAGAGAGAAAGAAATCTGTTGTAAACCATGTGCTTTTTTAAGTTACCAGTATTCAGAACATGACTGTGCATGGAGCTTTTCTGGTTGAGGCACCTACAAAGCAATTCAGATACTATGGAAGTCTCATAGACAGTAAAGCATTCGGTACTGAATGCTTTCCTGCAATATGTGATGATTGAGATGGGACGAATCACAGAAATCCATTCTGAAAGCAAGAGAGATCACAGAATCACAGAACCATAGAGACCTCTGGAGATGATTTAGTCCAATCTTCCTGCTAAGCCAGTTTCCCCAGACCAAGTTACACAGGAAACATTCCCGATGCCTCAACCACACTGTCCATACTTGGTAGCATCACTGTAAAAGTCATCTCTAAGTTATCATGAAAACTTGACTGGCAGAACTGCATCTTCTATTTCCTAAGAGAAAATATCCAGCTGATCTATGTGCAAAAAATGTCATTTCTGCAGGATGTTTTTGACATTGATAGCAAATTTTCTCTGCCTGCTGAGTGCTGTGCCTTGTCTATTTATAAGTCAGCTTCACCTGGTTTTCTTACAGGTGCTTTCCAGTGGGAGAGATTAGAGGAAAATATAAAAAAGAAGATGAAAGATTCTGAAAAAACTGAACATGTGCTTGAGAAAGTTAAATGTATCCTGAAAACTCCGGAGAAGGTACATCTAACACACTTAGGGTAACATGTATCACAGAATCACAGAATCACAGAATTGTAGGGGTTGGAAGGGACCTCCAGAGATCATCGAGTCCAACCCCCTGCCAAAGCAGGTTCCCTACACCAGGTCGCACAGGTCGACACCCAGGCAGGTCTTGAACATCTCCAGAGAAGGAGACTCCACCACCTCCCTGGGCAGCCTGTTCCAGTGCTCCGTCACCTCACTGCAAAGAAGTTCTTGTGCACATTTGTGCAGAACTTCCTGTGCTGCAGTTTCCGGCCGTTTCCCCTTGTCCTGTCTCCACTCACCACTGAAAACAGCCTGGCCTCGCCATTCTGCCCCCCACACCTCAGATATTTATAGACCTGGATCAGGTCCCCTCTCAGTCTTCTTTTCTCAAGGCTGAACAGACCCAGTTCACTCAGCCTTTCCTCATAGGGGAGATGCTCCAGGCCCTTCACCATCTTCGTGGCCCTCCGCTGGACTCTTTCCAAGAGATCCTTGTCTTTTTTGTACTGGGGAGCCCAGAACTGGACGCAGTATGTCAGATGAGGTCTTACCAGGGCAGAGTAGAGGGGGAGGATCACCTCCCTCGACCTGCTGGCCACGCTCTTTTCAATGCACCCCAGGATGCCATTGCCCCTCTTGGCCATGAGCTCACACTGCTGGCTCATGGCCAACCTGTCGTCCACCAGGACAGCCAGGTCCCTTTCCGCAGAGCTCCCCTCCAGCAGGTCATCCCCCAACCTGTACTGGTGCATGCAATTATTCCTCCCCAGATGCAAGACTCTACAGTTGCTTTTGTTAAACCTCATCCAGTCTTTTTCTGCCCAGAAAAATGTAGAAACAGTTATAGAAGTTCTCAGAAAATTCTTCCTCATCAATCTGTGTTTTACACTCAGTTTTGTTTACTTGGTCTTCTACTGCTTTGCAAGTAGGTTGTAATATGAATTTGCAACACAGAAGCATAGAGATGCTGAGGTCATGTGCTGAATGAATGTAACCACTAAAAAGCACATAAGTAGATCTCCCTTAAGGATTACTTTATTTATAGCTTCATGCGCTGCCTAACAGTATGATGATGTGTTCCTAATTCTCATGTAGTAAGGGCTGTCCAGAGGAGCTTTACTTTCCTGAGTAGGTGCCAGAAATTTTGCTTCTGCAAGAGATTGGAAAACTTGATTTCCCTTATAAACGTGATGCAGAAATCTGCCTATTGCTTAAGGTGTTTAATTCAGCTAATGACTTTGCAGTAAAATATTGTTTACATTTAGTTAATTGTGCCAATAGAAACTTGCAGTATAGAATTAGTTTTAACAGCCATTTATTTATAGCTTTTATATATTCCCCAACTTTAGCACTTGCACACAGTGTTTCTGTCAGTGTAAATGGGAAGTCATCTTGTCTTGAAATCCAGATCAGCAATATAAAGATCAAAAGTAACTGAGCTTCTGATCTCTCAGAGGTAGCCTTGTCAGACTAAGCATCCAGAGACAAACTGTTCACAGGTGTGGGGGAAAAAAAAAAAAAAAGCCCTGAAATCTTGTAAGATAATCAACCCAGCTTTCTTTTTTGTTTGTTTGTTTGTTTGTTTGCTTGTTTGGGGGGGGGGGGGGGGGGGGGGAGGGAGAGAGGGGGGTATGGGATTGGATTTTGTTTGTTGTTGTTTTACTTAAGGCTTTTGTTATACTTTCAGAATACTTCTATTTCATGTTTAAATTTTTTTCTGCAAAACTTTGAGGACTAGAAGTGAATTGGGCCTGGGGCTGAAATGGTAAGGAGGGTTGCAGAGTAGCAGATGTGAAGGATGTTGTTGGGTAGAATTACATAAAATAGATAGTGAAAGACTGTTGCTTAATTTCCTCACATAAATGATATTTTGTAATCACTTTTTTTTTTTTTTCCTATGGGCAACCGTACATGCTGACCTTTTTTTATAATTTAATTTGCAGGTAAACAGTTTGCGGGACTGCCAATCTCACCAGATAAAGCGGCTGTACAGTACCTCGCTCAGGCTGTTCTTTAACACGCCTGTCCTGGCAGATGTCATCTTCACAATACAAGGTACCTCTAGTCTTCCATGTCACCAGCAATTCTCCTCTCTGAAAGGAACTGGGAATGACAGAAACTGAATCAAAACTGAGAAAATGCGTGCACTTTCCTGCCACGGTTTTTTGCTTATCAGTAGCACTTGTCTGAATGGAAGCTTTGGGGCAGTGTCCACACTCAGCAGTTTGTTGAACCTGGTGTTGTCTGCCTGTACAGATTGTACCACTCAGATTTATGCATATTTCTGGTAGCCTAGCAAAATGAGGAGACGCTTCTGTACAGCCCTCAGCTCTCCTTCAGTCTGTGAGGACCGTACATCACAGCACTGTCTCATGGGTGACTTTTTTCAGAAATTAAAAATGCCTTCACTCTTAAATGCAAAAAAGATTATAAAAAGATTTTTTACATGCATGTTTTTTGAGAATAAGAATTAGGTTGTGTTTTAAATGCTAATGGCTTTCTCATGCCCACTCTTCATGCAGAAGTGGTCTTTTAGAGTTTAACGGTTGTTTAATTATTTTAGATTCAAATCTCAGAGCCGAATACGAAACATTAATCTCTCAAAAAATAAGCAGATGGGGACAGGCAGATTCCTTCTAAATGTTCTGTTTAATAATGTAGTAAAAGCTAAAAAAATAATCCTTGAAAATGAGAACAAAATCCTAATGTTGAATCTAATGACATGAGCAGTTCAGCTCAGTGACCCATTCCTGAAAGTCCCTGTGGGAATTTGATGAAACCGTATTACTATTGTATGCCAATTGACTCAACTTGTACCTTTTTAAAAAAGCACATTTGTCCAGTAATGTAGGCTTATTTTTTTAATTTGATAAATCTTCCAGGACTTTTCACTAATTCAAAAATCGCAATTATTACGCTAAAACTGAGTAATTACCAAATGATACTCCATTTAGCATAGTCTGTAGTGCAGCTCAGGAGGAAAGGAGAAAGAAGCACAAGTGAATAGAAAGAGAACAAAAATGAGGAAATAGCAGATGTTATGAAAATGTTGGGTAGGTGGCAAGGTTGTGGTTGAGGAGGAAATTAAAACTGACTTCTGTGTAGGCGCACGTGCTGTACTTATCTTAGCTGTCAGTTGGCATGTTTCTTACAATCTGATGAAATCACGTACCTCTGACTCAAGTCCTCATTCTTTTCGTGGTTGCTGTCCTGCCAATGTTTGTCTGTCAAGCAAGACTGCTGAGTACAGCTGAACTCCGAGGAAGTCTGTGTGTTGGCACTGATGTCTTGGACGATAGGTGTGTTCGAGAGGAGGCTGAAAAACCCCGCTGTTTACTGTGTCTTCCAGTAGTGGAGGGCATGATTCACTTGTAAATATTATAAATGGAATAATGTATGACCACTGTTTTCAAGAGATAATGATTAAGAAACGACTTCTAGATGAAAAAGCTGGTCTACATAAATTTATATTGATGTAATGAATTAAACAGAATGTTATCTGTAATATGTTACCTTCCCCTGTTTTGTGTGGTTATGTGCAAGTTGGACTAAAACACACATTTGTTACCAGTTGGGTTGCTGATGAACATGCAACGAACATCAGTGTTTCTGGTTGATAAAATGTTGACCTATTTGGAACACTTGTGAGGAGCAAATTGTAATAAGAAATTCGGTATTTCTCTTCAGGATCTTATCTGGTAGTGTGATGCCTGCATTTGCTAGTGGCTATTAGATAAATGTAAACATCTTGAATGGCACAAAATGAAAATGTTATTAATTATCTATATGATATTGTTAATTTAAAAAAAAAAATTGCTCGTAATCATCATAGTTGATGTGTATACAGTCTGAAAAAATGCAAGACTTAGCATCAAGATCATACCACGTGCATAAACTTGTCATGAATTTTTCTCTTGCATCCTGCAGGTGCAACTGTACCAGCCCACAGAGCAGTTCTGGTAGCTCGCTGTGAGGTAATGGCAGCTATGTTTAATGGTAATTATCTAGAAGCAAATAGTATTCTGGTTCCAGTGTATGGGGTTTCCAAAGACACTTTCCTCTCCTTTCTAGAGTATCTCTATACCGACTCCTGCTGTCCAGGTAAGAAAATTTTAAAATATATACATTACTCCATGTTGAGTTATTAAAAATGAATGGATAGAAAGTGATGCAGCATTTATTGCATTAAGAAATAGCAGTAGGTTGCTGGATAATGTCTCAACAACAACAAAAAAATGTTAGTGATAAAAAATAAATCAGAGTAATTCAAGTATTATTCAAGTATTCCTTGGAACAGGTTGCCCAAGGAGGCTGTGGATGCCCCATTCCAGGAGGCATCCAAGGCCAGGCTGGATGTGGCTCTGGGCAGCCTGGTCTGGTGGTTGGTGACATGCACATAGGAGAGGGGTTGAAACTGGATGATCATTGTGGTCCTTTTCAATCCAAGCCATTCCATGATTCTTTGATTTTAAAACCAGTATGCCAAGAGGGCAGTGCTGTAATCATTTTATGCTTACATAGCAAAACTGAATAAAAAGTGTGAAATTCTGTTTTTTGTCCACTAAAATATTCTGAATTTTCTCTCTACACCAAAGTAGTATTACTTTCTAATCTGAATTCTGAGTTTCATTTCAAAATTTTCATTTTGGTTGGCATATATTTTGTGATGCTTTATATAAATAAAGTTAACTTGTAAGAATATTTCACTGGTGTACATTAATATCTTACTTGCATATAAAGCACCTCTAATTATATTAAAACTGGAATATTTGTCAAGAATAATGAACTAAATTTCTTTATTTCTTATCTTTTATCTTCTTTAATGAGAAGAAAAGCCTTCTTAAATATGAAATGTGAATTAATTACAGATAATCTTCCTTTGACAAAATGAATGATGGCGCTGTATGTAATTTTGTTTCTTTTTTTCTTCTTAAATAATTCTATTTTGCTGTTAGTCTTTTTTCGTGGTTCCCTTTTCAGTCCTCCTAACATTTCAGTGTCCATTGAGTTAAATACGCAATCTCTACAGCATTTTTAAAATAATTTTCTGTCTTTCCTCTTCAGTCTCTTTTTTGATTGTATTTTCTAAGTATTACAGATGTTTTCTTTTGAAAGACAAGTTACAAACTTTCATCATTCTAATTATCACTAGTTTTAAGGAGGTCAGCAGCATCTGACTTAGCATTTCAAGACATATGAAATTGACTACAGTTTGTTATATTTGCCCTCTAAACATTTACCAACTAGCCTTTTTCCTGCTATTTAAATACCTTACCAGGAAAATAGTGACGAAATTAACTTATAATGATAGTAATGAAAAATAAACACAACAGCATTTTGATTTCGTGTCCGTCATTAAATGTTTAAAAGATCAGTCTGTAAAAAGCAGCTTCAGTCATCTTCTCAGATAAGTAAATTATGTGTAACTGATGTTCTGCTGTTTGTTTCAGCCAGTATTCTCCAAGCTATGTCCCTCTTGATCTGTGCGGAGATGTACCAAGTAATGAGGCTCCAGCATATCTGTGAGCTCTACATTATCACACAGCTCCAGAGCATGCCTAGCAGAGAACTGGCATCCACAAGTCTCAGCATTGTTAGCTTGCTCAAAAAAGCTAAGGTATTACTTTCTTATAATAAAGAAGAGTATATATATGTTCACTGTTATTAGCTGTGAGGGAGGGGGAGAATTTTTTTTTTTAAAGTAACTGTTAAAATATTGATTAACTTAACAATTTCACTTCTGAGGGCAAGTGTTGATTTATAATCTGGTGCACAGGAATTTCTGGTGGCACAAGGGTGGCAAAAAAAGAGTCTTCTTCAGCCTTTTATTGCAGAATGTGCAGTCATGCCATATTCTGTGCAGTTTTCTTCACCAATGACACATTGCAATGATTAAGCTTAATTTCTGCCAAAAGAGAATGTTAAAGGCAACTGAAGATGCACTACCTCCTCTTTTAGTCGAAAAAGGTAAACTGTATTATATCCAAATGCCACAGAAAATCTCACCTGATTAATAGATACTGAGTGAAAAGAAAAGGCTGGAAGAAACCAGATAGAGAAAGGGCTGATTTGGAAAGCAAAAGAGAAAAACAAAATGTTTACAAGTCTCAAGAAAGATATTCTCTTACAGAAATGGGATTTTGTGGAGAAGAAATAGCATCATGCCTCATTCATGTGAGAAAAAAGCAAATTTAAATGATCACATCTGGGAGGTACCTATATAAGCAACCTGCTTTTTAAACTGTAGTTTCTAAAAAGCAGTCTTTAAAACATGTTTTCCTTTTGTGCCTATGTTTGAGTAAATGTGTAGAGATTCCCAGAAATTAAAATGTCTCATCAACTTTTTAACTGTGTGTGTCATGGCACTGCACTTTGTTGCTGCTTCTAAATTGGTCCAAATAATCTGAGTGTACCCAGCACATTCGCACAGGAGGAAACACCCAGATTCAGTTCTGCTCCTGATGGATTAAAGCTGCAGGAGCTACCTAGCACACTGAGGCAAAGTGGAGGCAGAGGATCTTCCTCACCCTACTTTTTCTGAAGCTCTTCTGCTGCACAGAAGCCAAACATTTCAAGATTCATCACCAAAAGGAGACCCAGGGGTTAGTTCAGACAGCTGGAGGAAGCAGTTTTATTGTTCATTCATGGATCTGTGCCCATTTAAATATCTCTGTCAATGTCCCTTTCAACTCCTCCTGTTAAAACTTTATTTAATAGAATGCTATGATAATAGTGGTAATCTGAAATATTTTGTCATGGGAAGTGTGGTTGTTTTTCTCTTTTGTTTTAGACTCAATAGTATTAAATTATTGTATTTCCTTCTTGCAGTTTCACAATTCTGATTGCCTTTCCACTTGGCTTCTTCATTTTATTGCCACTAACTACCTCATCTTCAGCCAAAAGCCTGAATTTCAAGATCTTTCAGGTAGCTGTTTCCAGATTACTTCTTAAAAATACAAATTTTAAAATTCTGCTAAGACCAAAAGTGAGATACTGAATAATAATATTTCTGCATTATGAGTAGGACTTTTCTCGATACACTGTGGTAGAACAATCCAAAATCTGTTGGAACCAGATGATCCACCACCTCATTGTGAGTCTCACAATGAGACACATAAAGAGCAGCACAGTAAGCACTTCATACATTTGTCTTTTGATTCCTGTTGTGATGACCAGCATAGCCAATCCCTCCTGTCTCTGAATCAGCTTGGGCACTTTGATCATCACATGACATCCCTTTCACACTCATGTATATAAGCTTGTTTAGCCTGTACCCATTATTGAAACTATTAAGTCACTCCCAATACATGCTGTTTGAAGATATGGAATTTTTTGTAGGTAGACAACAGGATTCTCGTGGTACTATCCAGCAGATGTTTTGAAATCTAACTAACTTTTAATTAATAAATACTGAAGTAAATAAACCTAAGCTCTTCCAGGGATTTGGTACTTGTTTTCCAATACAGAGTTTGTATCCTGACATGTAATTTCAGATTTGTCCATTTTTTTTAATTTATTTCATCACTCTGATGTGTGTTCTTGACAGGTGCAACTCTTTCCATTTCAACAAAAATTGATTAAAAGTTTTCTTTCCTCGTTTGCAAAATCTATATATTGCAAGTCTTAAATATGTAAGACTTTCGGACTCACATATATGTGTGATGACCGATGGCTTCTGATTGTTACAAACAGAGAAAGGAGAGCTGGGTCCTTCCTGCTTCATTTGGACCTGAGTTTCATCCTCCAGTGGGCCATCTGCCCCCTTTCTGAAACACCCTTTTTGTACAGTCAGAATTGAATGATAAGTGAGAGAAGAGCAGCTGTGCTGGTGAATAATTCACATGGAGGCTCATGGTTTGATCCTTTGCCTCCTGATTCAGGTGTCAGAGTGTGTTTGAACTGTATTTGCTACAATCTCAGCTACTCTAAGGTTCTCGTGAATGTGTAGAAATCAGGTTTTTCCCTCAGTTTGGTGGAGTTGGGAGCTGCCTCTGGCTTTCTGTTAATGTACGAGAATAAAGACCCAGTCGCTTATGGGTCACTGCAGGGATTCATCTAGGCAGAGCTACCTTCCCACTTTACAGTGGGATAAAAATTATATGGGGCTGTTGTTACTAGAATCATAAAATCACAGAATTATTAATGTTGGAAAAGACTATTTAGTCCAACTGTCAGCCCACCCCCACCATGTCCACTAACCACGTACCTTTGTGACACATCTATGTGTTTCTTGAACATCTCTAGGGATGACGACTCCACAACCTCTGTGGACAGCCTGTTAAGTAGCCTGTTACTTCATTTGTTTTCCCCCATTGTATTCTGACTCAGAAAACTGAAAACTCTAACCCTCTTACCGTATTTACAAAGGTGCTACTACCTCATTCACAGCTGCATCTGATACTCAGACCTACATAGGCAGTCCCTAGAGTAGTCCACATTCACTGAACATTCACTGACTTTTCACACTCAAATTACTTCTTAGTGCTACCAGAGCATTGTCAGACAGGACACTGATCTATGGAAAGTTTTTTCTAAAGGTTTTAGGGCTGATGCTGTTTCTCACCGTCAATATCAGCAGTAAAATCTTTATTAGAAGATTGTTTTCTGCTGTGGAAAGTTGTAAGTGTGCTTCTGCTTGCATATGCAGTTACAGAGGTGTGTATCAGTCTGTACAAGCCTGCTATGACACTGTGGAAGTGTCTACAGTCAGGACATGCTCTGACAATGCCCAAATAACTTGGGGATGAGCTGTAGAGTATCACCATGCCATATGTTTGCTGAGCCATTGCCTGGAGTTTCCTGCCTCCACCATGCGTAAAGCACCCAGAGCTGGTGTAGCTGTTGGTTTGTGGAGGTTTCTGAAATTGCTGGTTGTGACTGGTACCCAGTTGGCTTAGCGTCTGAGAAAACAGCCATGGATCTACTTGTGGGAAAAGGGCATCCAGAGAGTTGGCTGGTAGTCCTTGAAGTTTGCTATCAGCATGTATGTAGTCTTCCCTTTGCTTTTCTCTTTCCTATGAGCCACTTCCATACAACTCATTGGGAGATCAGCACGTCCTGCTCCATCAAACTTGCACTGAGAAACCTGGAAGCAAGAAATGAGGGTGCAAATGTAAAAACATACGCACTAGGTTAAAACATTCTGTTCTAGCTTGCAGGACACCAGTACTCTAACAGGCACAGCCCTGATGGAAACTCACTGGTAGCTGGCAGCAGTTACTGGCAGGTGACCTGTATTATTCAGAACATCATCACATAACATCATCACCAGTTTCAAGGAGATCGTGAGGGAGCTGATTACTAGTACCTTCTTTGTAGGTGAAATATTGAAATCTTCAAAGGCGCCTCTGCATTCTGCAGAAGATAAATGAAAATGTTGCCTATTGCCTGTTACTAATATACCTTCCTATTGTTTATTACTGATGTAACTTCCCTGCCTCACTGCTCTTCAAGATCTCTTCCGTACTTTGATCTCTGTCCCACTTGGTCTGAGATTGGTGCCAGATGATTTGGGTATGGCTGGAGTGTAGGGATGAAAATGCATACTTGTGCAAAGGCAAGGAGATTTTACCTAAGTACTGTGACTAATGACTCTGTTATGTGATTTTATGGTGTCAGTGACAGAAAATGCGGAATGAAAGACAAAAATCTTGCTAACTTGTTAACTGACCTCTTCACCTTGTTTTTTGTAGTCTCAAGACAAACTATTGGCGTAGAAATTGAAATACCCTCCTTTGTAGTATTTCAGCATGAAAAGCTCCTGTGGTTGATTCCCATGTTTAGTTATCTTCTGAGGATAAAGAATATTCTTCTTTAGGATGATCTTCCTTCTCTCTTTAATAAGTGTTACATCTGTTTTATTATGAAACGTATTTATTACTGGCAGTAGCAAGAGGACAACATCTAAAAACTTTTACACTGTGTATACTACAGTAAGATCTAGACAAAAGGGACAAGAGTAATTTCAACTTTACTATTTTATTTGCATTTCTATCCATGATGCTTTTAAACAAATTTGTGAAAATTTTTGCAGCCTGTGTATATATTATGGTTAATTCATTTATTGCTTTGTTTAGTGGAGGAGCGCAGTTTCGTAGAGATGCACAGATGGCCATCCAGTATGTACCTGAAGCAACTTGCTGAATACAGGAATTACATCCACTCTCAGAAATGCCACTGCACAATAATGTAAGGAGACTGCACATTCTGGAAGTACATCTCAGCTAGGAAATGTCTAAATGGGGATCATATGAAGTACAATAAATGTATCAGCAGAAAAAATGAACACTGATGTGCCCTTGAACACTGTATGCAACACTGTAGCACACTTAATATATGCTTCAATTTGGTAATAAACGATTCTGCTTTTTTTTCCTTAAAGCCGTAAGAAATGTGTCATGAGGAATTTTTGAGGGATGATGATTTCACATTTACAGGGTTTAAACTGGGTCATGTCATCACTGACATCTGTTCCACTTTTTAATTGGATGTCATGGTCATTTTCAGCTATTAAGGTGTTGAAAATGTATTTTTTTCTAAATCTGTGTATAGTAGGAATAAGATCATCATTGCTTGGATGCTGAGAGGCCAATTCATAATATCTCAGAATACTAAAATTTACTGCAATTTATTGGTTTGCAAAATAAAGAGTAAGATTAATATATGCCTCAGTAAGCTTTAATTTGCTATTCCACCTTAAATTTTTCCCTTCTTTCAGTAGGAATCTTATAGTCATATAATCAGACATTTTAATCCTGGGGAATGCTATGCATCAGTATATTCTTTAGTGCCTGCCAAATGTCTAGAAATAAAAATACTTTTTCCTCCCAGTAAGTAAGATAAGACAGCCTGCTTTCATCTGTAGAGCACTTTTGTTAGAGAGGTCATACTGTATGTCCATACTTTCTGAATGCGTGGTTACTTTCTCAGATACAAGAAGTGAATCTTGAATACTGTGCAAAGGGTGACTCTTCAACAGCACACAGCCTTTAAGGGTATGTTCTTTGGATCACAGATCTGAATTATTCATTTCTCTTACCATTAATATTGTAGTAGGTATTACTGTTATGAGAAATGAACCAACATTTACACTGAGAATATCTATCTGAGTGTAGCATTATTATCAGTCTTCTTGTACTTTTTTTTCCAATTCTACTTTGCCATTTACCCTTAGTTTTCTTATGTGTTATCTGAACCTAGAAAGACAAAGGAAAGACAAAGAAAAAATACTGAGTGTTTCCCCAAAGTTCAGAGCAGAGCATCTCAGATGTACCAAGAAACTGTCTGTGAGATGAAGGTGGCACTGCAAATTGCTGGAGCTGAATCCTTTCTGCTTACATGATCATTTTTTTCTAACATTCCTTTAAATTTTCATAGGCAAATTCTTCTTTTCAAATTCCACGCTAGAATCAAAGGAATGTTGTTTCTTTATGGAGATGTTTTGCATAAAGTGGAACAATGTCTTCTATTCTGGGAAAAAGAAAGTAAAATGTTTCTCAGTCTAGTGCAGGCTGGAAATTCCAAGATTAGTTTATATAAGAATGACAAATCACTTTTATTTTTAGCTTGTCAGGAGACCTTAGAGTTCATTAAAAGACAAGACATCATTGCATCTTGCACGTATGTAGAGCATTACATTGCTTTTTCAAGATCACTGAAAAAGAAATGAAAAAAAGATTAGGAAAATAATATGTATTGCACTTGAATTAGTAGAAAGGGTTTTTTTCCTAATTATGTCATTCATCTTAAAAGCATAAATTAGCTGGATAGGTAGGAGTAAGACTTGTGCTTTCTCTGAGCACAAAGTCATGAACAAAAATGGGCAAACAGCTGAACTTTACCTTGCCTAGATGCCCTGCTGCATGCTCACTCAATGCATGCTTCTGTATCAGCAGCCAGCTCGTTCACTGATGATATGGTTTTAGGACTCATACTGAATTCTTGTGCAAAATTAGGGAAATTTATGTGAATGTTTGCCTGCATTGCATGCAGTCCTAAATTCTTAATGCTTTGAAAGCTTTCTCAGTCTTATTTTGCTAGAAGTTAGTATTTTGCCAGTAATTTAAGTTAAGATATGATGAAATACTATTTTTAACTTTATGCAAATGTTTTATAGACATTTAAGTAGGCTTAATGGGTATATGAACTTTGTATCCAACCAATATTTTGATATTGTGGTAATCACAGGTTTTATACGGAGAATCCAGGCAGCATAAAGATATTTATTATTTATTCACAGGTTTACCACATAATATTATTCAGGCATTAAGACAGCTTTCCACCTTACTGAGTATCCCAATAATGCCACCTGTATCAGGTGGAGATATGTTAACCTTGCAAATGCAGAACATGAGAGAAATTTAAATTCTTAGAGTAATTGTAGTGAGTAATTCTCAATTTTATTCTGTGTGATGATTTCCTGTAGAAATGTGTTTATCCTAAAACTATTTTTAAAATCTTGACATTAGCTGAGAGTAGATCATGATGCTTGGTTATTTGCTAATAGTATTTTTTTAGTATTCTGACAGGCAGTACAATACTGAGATCATGGATCAGAAATTACTGCCCTATCGAATTTGGTATTTGTGAATAACTTTGTATGAATAATATGTTAGGATCTTTGATATGGCATAAAGTAAAATTTAGGAAGCAGCTGGAAAGAGTTATTTGAACAAGTGAATTTGAAAAGGCAGAGGAAAGCTGATGTGTTATTACTGTAGGAGATTATTGCTCAAGATGTTTTACAGGTAATCCATAGTTATCCTATTAGTAGCATCCTATTCACGTTAAAATAGACTTGCCAAGTTCTGATAAACAATGTATTATAAAGTGAAATAGTTTCTGATTTTATAACAGCCCCAGAGCTTTTTTCTCTGTGAGAACTATGGTTTGCATCTAGACAGAACCCACAGAACCAGCAGCTGCCTCAACATGATGGCATTCTAAGCTACATTTCTTACACTGCCCTGGCAGTGGCAGGCAGGGACCCAAATGTCTCGATGCCAACTCACGAGGGTTGCACAGATCCTAGCATCTCCTGACTCCAAGAGCATTGGGAATGTTGGGCTCAAAGAAAGGCAGGTGGTGAATGTGGGTAACCTTAGGCAGTAGCTGAGCAGGTTTCAGAGGGCTTGAGATTACAGTGTTGGACAGACAGACAGGTGGAAATTTGACTTCTGAATCCTTCATTGGAGATAGATCTTGAAATTCTCTTCTAGAAGTGGAGTTGTACAAGTAATAGATTACACCGTATAATTTTCGCCATGTATATGTGTACGCTTGTCCCAACCCAGCACTGAGACCTACACAGACTGATAAAAAGCATTTCTGTACTAATAGTGTTTTCCACAGTATAATTAAAGAGTTTCTGCTGTAGTCCATTAGGTGTTGGTGTATTTGATTTGGGAAAACAGAATTAGAAGAAAAAAACATTACTCCGTTATGCATATGCTTGTTCTTTCAATATGCCATGACTAAATGTACACGCTACTAGATTTAATATTTAAAATTTTGCTACAAAATAAAAAGATTTTCGCTAGCTCTCATGATTATTGTCTCATTTGTGTTACATTTGTGATTACTGTTGGAAATATTTTGATAGCTTATTAACTTATCATTTATGCATGATGTGATAAGTGAGGGAAAAAATCACTTTGTACTGCAGTATTTCCCTACACCCTAAACTAAGGCCCTCTCCATTCAGTGACGTTTTCTCCCTCTTCATGTCAGTCTGAGATGAAGTTTTGGTGAATAGTTCTGTATTAGACCAAAAAAGGATTTAGCTACTTATTCATTTCTGAACTTAAAGTCATATAAGGAGAAGAAGAAATGTGTAAAGTATTTTGCATAGCTTTTCTTGCTAGTGATGCGGCAAAGAGCAAGTGATCAGTCTCATCAGCTCCCAACAATGCTTATTATTTGCAGAAAATGAGATGAGACAAAGTTGAATAATTACAGAAAGCAGCTCCACTATTCCTCTGAGTAAGAGGCAGGAAGGTCTCAATATTGCAGCTCTATTTGAAAAGCCAATACATTTATTGCTTGCTAATTGAGGGACGCTCGTAACACACTGGAAATAACTCAAAATGAATTCCAAATACTTGGATGCTAGTTGCAGAATATTTCCCCAGAGAGGGCAGCTGCCCAAGCACCTCTGCAACAAATGCAGCCTCTACATGGCTTCTTTACCATGGAAAACAAGAACTGCTGCTGTGTTTTGCTGAGGGTCAGGAGGTCTTTTACAGAACCACAGAATTACAGAATGGTCAAGGTTGGAATGGACATCTGCAGATCATCTGTTCCAAGCTTCCTGTTCAAGTAAGGACCCCCACAGCGCATTACCCAGGATTATGTCCATATGGCTTTCTGTCTCCATGGAAGGAGACACAACAACATCTCTGGGCAGCTTGTCCCATTGGTCAGTCACCCTTACAATAAAGAAGTACTTTCTGGTGTTCAGACAAACAGGGTAGCTCTAGCTCACAGCTGTGCAGCAGGGCCAGGGCATTACTGGTGCTGGGACTTGGCAGGTGCAGAGGATGTGGAGGAGATGGGAAAAGACATGAGAGTACAACAGAATGTGAGTTGGAGCTATTTACTGAATTTCAGTTTCAGCTGTTTGAAGAAGGGTTTGAAAGAAAACAGGAAATTGTTTTGGCTCACCAGAAGCAAGAGGCAACATGACAGAGGAATGCAAAAGCAAAAACTGGGTAAGCAAAAACGGGATGAGTGCAATACCCTGTGAGCTACGTGGCAGTGAGGAAGGAACACAGCACAGTGGCTGTGACATGGTAGGGGCCATGCTCTCTCCAGCATAGCAGCTCACCCTGCACAAGGCCCCACCACGGGCTGCATTTGTGCCTGAAGCTCGGAATGACTTCAGGAGAAAGAAAGCAGGATGCGGCCCTCAGTGCCTGCAGGGTGGGCAGAACTGTGGGACAGCTGGGGAGAGCAGGCCTCTTGCAGTTCTCTCCAAGCTGAGGTTAAGAACAACCCCATCGATGAGTTTACACTGATACTTAATCTTGCCCTTGCATTCAGTTTTAAAATGTGAGGCGGGGAAGCCACTCCTTACAAGGAAAAGAATGGTGTGGGCAAGCCTCTGGCCACTGAATGCTCTGAGTGGCGAGGCCTGATGGGAGAAGAGGGGAAAAAAATTCTCTGATCTTTGTACAACATATAGAAGGACTTAACTGACTGAAATATTTCATGCTTTTATGGTCAGCTTGTAAGACTGGCATTGTCAGTGCATTGTATTTTCTCCCCATGAAGTGTAACAAGACACTGCAAAAGAAATAAAATATCGCTGGAGTGTTGCACTGCTGGTAAGGTTGTGCTGCATCCAGCATTGGCTCTTCAGTTGTGTTCTGGACATCTTACTGACGGGATACAGGCTGCTCATCAGCACTCATGGGAAGCACTCAAGTCCCCTGCTGCACTGCATGCAATGTGCTAGCAAACTGCAGCACACCTCAAAGAGCAGTTCTGCTCCAGCAGCCTCAGAGATATTGCTTGTTTGCTTGTTTGTTTGTTTTTATTTTGACCCTTAAAATGCCATCTACTTCATTTTGTAGAATTTGTTTTGAAGTGGAAATAGTTCAGCCAAGAAAATGGGAGAGACTGAACAGCAGCAGTTCTGAATACACCTGTTCAATAGGGTTGGCATGAAGTTATCCACATTTCTGCAGATCATGTCATGACAGTCTTCTCTCATGGCTAACGTTCCTTACATATATTTATCATTTAAAGTGCCATATCAGCTTCATGTGTGAACTTCTGAGAATTTTAACATTTCTTTAAAAATCAATATTCTCCTTTCCTCATCAACTTTATTTGTCATGTTATGAGTTTTGCCTATAAGCTATAGCAACATATTCCTGTTCCTAAACTCATATTCACCACTGTGATTATATGAAAAAACACTGAGATTTTTGTTTGTTTGTTTTTGTTTTTGTTTTATTCCCAGCTGTGAAGAATTCCAGTTGTTCCATCTATGATAAAAGCTGTAGAAACTAATTGATCTGTAGAAATTAACTGAACATCCAGGAAATGCAACCAGATTTTCTGGTAGTTACAACTTAACAGCACTCTGTCTCTGTTTTTTGCACACTGAATAATTCCAAATCCTGTTAGAAAACCCAGCTGCTGATGTAAATCCTATCAATGTTTTTTTATTTCATACTTGTGAAAATGGGGAAAACCAGAACCATGTCCAAGTTGAACTCTGTGGTACTCAGACTGTGGATGATGTCTTAGCCAGAGAATGTTAATATCCAGCTGGTTTTTGAAATGGTTTATGCTATTTCCTTCACACTGTTTCGCTGTGTTCACTGTGTGACCATAATTTTCGTGAAAAGAAGGGATGGGTGGTGAATAGGGTGATGTTCAGAGACAGTGCTCTGGGTGCTTCACATTGCAGCATAGATTCTGAGGTGCTGCTGGCCCACTGCTGGGGAGCAAAATTACTGAGGCAGATTGTACCAGCATGGTCATCTGCTCTAAATTTGAACTGCATTTCATAAACAGCATTGTAATAATGCTTTATAGGTGGTAAAATTGCTCATAAATTGCTGAAATTAGCTATTTTTGCTTTCCTCTCATATTTAGGCTTGCAAAAAGTGATACAGTTACACAGCTAAATAGGTAAGCTCTTTACTTGTTAGGAAACACATAGAAGATGTTGTTATAGGCCGAATATTTCAGTCCTTGCTGAGATCTATGTGGCAGTATTTGATTTATGACAGATGTGTCCCAGAATAGCTTTCTTCAGAAGTGTTAAGCTGAAAAGGGAGTCAGTGTGACTTTTTGAAGCACTAAAAATAGAGAATCGTGGCTGTAGACTTAACACTGACTGAACAGTTGCTCTCATCATTGTCAGCAGCCATCAGTACTGCCCACCATCTGAAATCCTGTACAATCACACCTGCACACCTGCGTAAGCACAGGAAGAAAATTTCCACAGCAGATTAAACTTAATGTTTTTTCTGAGTCAATGGATGGTAGTACATTTGGACTTTGTTACTAGGTGTTAAACTTTTCACCCAGCAAAAATTCTAGCTATGTAAAAGGACTGGAAACAGTAAATTTTGCCTGAGCACTGTTTTAAAAGACCCTACCATGCAATATAGGAAATGTTCACCCTGACCTTCTCATGTTTACAGACTGCTCTTTTCCTGGAATAGTGTTAAGATACGCTGAACAAATGTAAATACACACAAATTCTCATGAGTCATTTTAAACTAAGACTGATTGAAATGTGATAATTGCTGATCTGCCGAGAGGAAAAGGACTTTAAACTTGTTAATAATTAAGTTTTTGTGATTGTCACTGCTTTCCAGGCACGTCCACAGCATTTTTATCTTTTAAGGAGTTTTACAAAGACAAGCAACCAGAGTTGACTCACATGTGGAATTTAAAGTAAGAATGGGTTTCATGGCTTCTCATTGAACTGATGGCTCATGCTGTCTCGTGTGACATACCATGAGACAAAGGCAGTGCTCAGGGGCCACGTCAAGGCCATGTTGATGCAGTGGCCCCAAAATTGGTCTGTATTCTTCCACTTAGACCTTTGTTTCATCAGCAAATTCTAAAGGCTAACATGTTTATCAAAACAAAAATAAGCTTCAGGTACTGAGTTAATTCCACAGAATTTCACAGCTTTTAATAGGAAGGAAGGGGAGGAGGGAGGGAAGGAGGGAGGGCAGGAGGGAGGGAGGGAGGGAGGAAGGGAGGGAGGGAGGGAGCATTTTATTTTTAAGGAGGAGGGAAATAATAACAGTGAAAAGAATTGAGAAGGGTTTTATGGTGCTTTTGGTTGTTGTTGCTTGCTTGTTTTTTCCTCATAATCAACTAAAAAATTCCTTAAACTTTCAATTTTTGACACAGCATTATTCGAATGCTAAGTTTTTACAGCAGCTCTTCACCCAGTTTGATCTGGTAGTAGTTGTACTGTCCATTTCCCACAAACGCTTTCTTGCACAACACTATTGACTTAGGTTTGCCTTTGGCCAGTGCTGTAGAGTCAAAGCTCAACCAGCAGCTTTCTGAATCAGCTGCACAGCCCCAGGCATATTCTGTCAGGTAACTCTTAGATTGCAGTCAGAAATACGGAAGCTCATACTACTTCCAGCAGCAGTTGTGTTGTAACAAAATATTTACCAAAAAAGGGCTGCACTGACCTTCACGACTGCATAGTGAGATCTTAGTCAAAAGGTATTAAGGATTGGGGTAACCTTAGCAAGCTGCAGCATTTGTTTCAGGTTGTGTTACAGCATGACAGCAGTGTGTGCTCTAGCTATTTTAATGATATTTTTTAAAGGACATGGAAAACACTGAGAGTTTCCATAAAGCCTTCTGGGAAAGACATGTGGAAGAAAGACTGTAGAAAGAAAACAGACATTTAGAATGAGAGTGTGAGTTGGCCTGCACAGTAGAAGAAACACAGTGGTGATCTCAGCCACTTTGTTCAAGTATATTTTATTGAGCTAAATCGTTTAACAGTCTAAACTTCTTTTCAGAACCACAGAAAGTATGAAGAGATGTGACAT